TCAGTGCAACAATAAAACGAAAATTCATTACATCGCGTCAGTGGGTTGAGAACATAATAGTGATTGACCATAGAGTATGTATTAAATTAACAACAAGCAAAACTAAACGTAACGTAAAACGTCAAACTCAAACTTTTGTGGTTGTCAATTGAACTCAATTGTTGTGAATGATTTTTGAGTGTACTGTTAAATTTTATGTAATTAAGTGTACGAACTGTTGAGTGAACATGGTTGAATTCAATTAAGTGATTTTAATAATATTATGTAGGTAAACAGCAAAACTAAATCGAATGTAAAAATGTATATACCGGCGCTGTTTACAATACAGGATAGTGGGTTGAAGTGTAATTTTATTACTGTACCACCCACCGACACAAAAGATGATAAAATAAAGGTAAGTAATTATTACAATTATACAAATGACTCTCTTATCGGATATGTATGCACTGATAGCTTAATATATTGAGTCTAATACCTATGTTTTCCCCTTTTGCAGACCATCGCCCGGCGCCTTAGGGTACTTTGACAGAAGTGGCTTCAGCTCGTCCATCGAAGTAATTCGGTGTTTACTTCCATCAAGAGGTTTGACCACTATGACACCATCCTGGGTCCAACACGACTGAACTCCAAAATGCAAACGCGCCTTTCCGAAGACCTCTTGCCGGCGTCTTGTGAGGAACTCCTTGACAGAGATGGAAGAACCCTTGAGACCCTTTTTGGCTCTCCACACCGAAGACCTGTCTGCAACTGCCCCGAATCTAACTAATATTGGCCTGTGCCTGTTTTCCGACTTTGATATTGATGAATATGTATAACAAATAAAATAAATAATATGCATTCGCAATATTGATAATTATCTACAGAAAATATGTCCTCGTCACACATTTAAAAATATATTTCCATACTAGCTTCTGCCAGCTACAATTATTCAATGTATTGTACCTAATCTATCTCTATACTAAACATCCAAATCTGTCCAGTACTTTTTTCGTGAAATAGTTACAAACATACATACCATACGTCCTCACTTTCTCATCTATATACTTTCGCATCTATATACAAATATAAAAATGAAACCCATTTTCCGTTGTCACGGCATCACACGTGAATGGCTGGACCGATTTCACTAATTCTTTTATTTTTATATTTGTTATTATTAGGAGTAGGTTCGTAAGACAGAAAAAATCTTAAAAATCCTTCGAGAACGAGAGAAAACAGGATTGCGCGGACAAAGTCGCGGGCAGAATGATGAGACTATGTGACATTGCGTACAGCTTATCAAATACGAATTCGAAATGTTAATGTTATCATGTATTGAAATGAAACTTTTTTAACTTTATCAAAACGACCTATAATACTGTGTAAAATTTAGTAATAAAAAGACCGCTATGATGAATCTCGGTGTTGTGTGAGCACAAGCATTGGTTAAAGGAATAATGTAATAAGTTTAGGTGGCCGGGCGTTAGGCTGACAGTGGAGCGGCGCGGATACAATGGGAGCGATGGCGCGACGACGACGGAACCGGATAGCGCCTATTGCCGGCGCACTCGGTGCCGATAAGAGCAGCCGAGTCGGTCGCGGCCGCGCCGCACCGTGCCGCTGCCGACGCCTGCCCCTGATTTATGTACGACGTGTCTCCTTTTTAATGAGTCTGTAAGAAGATATCTCCCTGAACACCACAATAAATTTCCGAACTGTGACTTGCCAAAATGTTTCAACGTCGATATCTGCAAACAAACCCAGTCCCATTCCGTTAATCTGCCGAAGCGAAGAACGTATCGCGTATATAAGTCGTGCTTATCTCGGGTAATGGCCGCCTATCTAGTTGATCTGCCAGTTTTATTTATAGCCATGTTTTCCTTTACGCGCTCCTTCCAATTTGTGGAGAGTGAAAGGGATTGTTATGAGGCTGCCATGTTTCATAGCAATAAACATGTGTATCCAAAATAACGACATTAACTATTTTTCTTTTCGCTGCTTTTGTTACCAAATTCCTATGACGATTGTTTCTCTTCCCTATTGTTCACATTCATCTTAACATTTTTACAATGGTACCGAGATACAGAAACATTAAGAAAATTTAAGTATTCCTCAACTATTTGTCAACTTATTCGTATTAAACTGTATATTACATTTGTAATTTAAGTTATTTTTAAGTGAATTCGCATTTTTATAGAAATTAACATGATATATTTTTCTATTGATGAATATAAGTAAATACGAAAGTCACCTTAGTCACTATCTCGCCTTTGTTCAGTAGCTTACAGCCAGTTTCTGTTATATCATTGAATATGGCTGCATGTATATCACCTCCTAACCTCTAACATTTCAACTATATTAACCAGGTTGTACCAATAAAAGCTCCTTTGACAGAATTTAAAACTAGTATCTGATAATAAAAAACAGAGAACATATTCGTATTGCGTACGATCAAAGTAATAACCGCAGGAAATGTAATATTTAATAGGAGATCATAGGTCATTTATAAAATGGTTTAAAATAAAAACGTCCTGGAAAGCCTGAAAAACGAAGGGCGGCGGCGGGGGCGGGTTAAAACACAGAGCGGTGGTTGCGTGCCCCCTCGTTACGGGCACCGGCGGCGGCGCGCGGCGTCCGCGCTCGTTCTGTGTAAGTAGTGCGTTCATCCTGTTAAATTTATTGCCGCTTTTATATCAGCCGTTACAGAGAGGTCCCCTTTCGTCCGTATCGGGCCGCGCGGAGCCCAGCTTAGTGAAGTCGCAATTACGTTTTACCGGCTTTGAGTCCAACGGAGGCGACTTTTGCCGTCCATCGAATCGTAATGGAATTAGCGTTTCAGTGCTCTTTTAATTTGTCTTCTATCCTTGTACTAAACGAATCTTCTACCTGAACTGTTTGCTCTCATCGTAACACATTCCTGACGAACAAGCTATTTATCTAATTCGTAATCTATTTCTGTTTATTTACACTAAATGTGCTCGTACCCGTGTAGAGTACCAATTGTATCTCATTGACATTCAAGTCGTTCTCATTCGTCTGCTGATAATGCGTCTGATGTTATTTTGAAACAACCCTTATCCTCTCTCAGCTAACGATATAACTTAATATAGCTATCGTGTTCGGTACTGCTTTAATAATACTTATTATTTAAGTACCATAACGTAACACACTGCTCGCCTGTTTCCTGTAAAAAAATTGTTAGATTTTATGTTTTATAACATTTATTTTGCACTCAATGTACTCAATGTTCTTCAAACCTACATACCTAAATTAAAATAAATGTGTGGTCCTCTGTGGTGTTGGTGTGTACATAAATTACACAATAAATTATATTTCTTTCACTAAAGACGGAACTACGATCTGAGCTTCAAATAAGTTGCGTAGCATATTCGTAGCAGCGCTACGAAATATTCATCGGGTTAAGATACCTTGCGTAGCAAGCACGTAGCCTTGCTACGAAAGTAGCATGTAGCGAAACATGCGGATATACTAACATTTGTACGATACTTAGTTTTATATTACTTTATCGAAATGACACAATTGTATGAGATCATAATCAACATCAACTAAAAACGTCTTTCCCGTTGTCAAACTCTTTGTTCTTTCCACTATAGAGGTACATACAACATCGGTTCCGAAGAATCCTATATGTAACAATTTTCGCTATCGTGTTCAAGAACAACAACACTTTGTAAGTTGATCCTTCTTTATAAACGAGTTCTTGAGTCTCAACAAATTGCAATAGATGTTGTGCATTAAAAATA